GCGGAGGAGGAGGCGGAGGAGGAGGAGCAGGAGCAGGAGGAGGAGGAGGAGGAGGAGGAGGAGGAGGAGGAGGAGGAGGCGGACGTCAGCTACTCCACGTTTCGGAATATTTCAGTCCCCCTCGCGCTGTGCAAAAATCACGACGTGGCCTCCGGGGCCCTTTCTGGTCCTCGGGAGTTGTAAAATAACGATTCAGGATGAAAACCCGGTCCCGGAAAAGTGGTCCAGACCTCTGGGAGTCAACGTTTTGAAAAACCACGACGTCGGGGGTCTGGGGTGGGGGAGGTCACATTTGGGGGGGTCTGATTTGAGCGGTCTTGGAGGGTTCCAGTGGGGTCTGGGCCAAAGTCCGCCCTTTCATGGCTGGTCTTGGGGGGGTCTGAACTTGCTCGTCTCCGAGGGTTGTGACCCCCCCCAACCTCGCCGATCTTGGCCATGCCCATCTTCGGCCACGCGCAGAGGGGGGGTAGGGGGAGGGGGGAAGGCTTCTTAGAAACACCCTGCTTCTCAGAGGGCGCGGGCCTTGGTAGATGCAAGGCTCGCGACTCTTAAGAAGCAGCCTCCTTCTAAGCTGCCTGCCTCCTTCCCCTACCTCCTCTGCGCGCCGCGGGGGTCCTGATTTGAGCAGTCTTGGAGGGTTCCAGTGGGGTCTGGGCCAAAGGCCGCCCTTTCATGGCTGGTCTGGGGGCGGTCTGAATTTGCTCGTCTCCGAGGGTTGTGACCCCCCCCCCTTATTGAGAAATTTGGAGTACCAACCTTGCCGATCTTGGCCATGCCCATCTTCGGCCACGCGCAGAGGGGGGGTTGGGTGGAGGGGGGAAGGCTTCTTAGAAGCACCCTGCTTCTCAGAGGGCGCGGGCCTTTTCTAAGAGGCAGCCTCCTTCTAAGCTGCCTTCCCCCCTTCCCCTGCCCCCCGCTGCGCGCCTCTAACATCTGCCCTCGAAGAAGAAGAAGAAGAAGCCAGTGCAGAAACATGAACTTTCGGAGCCACGTGCGGATTTCTCGGGTCTGTGCTGAGCCCCTCACAGCGCCGACCCTGGCGCGCCCCGCGCGCCAGGGAGGGGGGGTCCAGCCCAGTCGGTTTTGCAAATCATCATGCGTTTCGCTGGAGACCATCGGCAGTTCTTGGACGTCGACTAGCTGTCCCGCCCGAGTCCACGCGGGCATGCAGTGCTGTGCGCACGTGGAGCGCCCATGGGAACTTTTCGCTGATGATCGTCTTGCCAAAGAGTGTTCGTGAGGAGGGGAAGCAACACACAGACGCAAGGAATCGTCGACTCCCAGGATGGACGTGGGAAACTCTGGGAAGGGTGGGGGGAAGACGAGCACCCAGAACAGATCGTGGGAGCACGTGTGGGGAACCCTGGGATCCGTGCCTGTCCACTGGCGTGCCCCTGGGCCCCAGCAGCTCCTGTCAGTCCTCGAGAGGAGGACGAGGCTGGACGGGGACGCCCTGCTCAGCCGGCGGGGCGACATGGAGGCGCAGCTACGCCACCTGGACGAGAGCATCCGGCGCAGCGAGGCCCGGGCCTCTGAGACCGAGCGGAGGTACTACGAGGTCCTGGCCCAGCGGAAGCCGTCGGCAAAGTCGGCGTTGGGGTCGGGCCTGTCCCTCTGCAGGAGGGATCTGCCAGAGGAGTCAGCAAAACAGTCTGGGGACGATCTGTGGGGTATCTCTGAACATTTCGGGAGTACCTTTTTGAGTACCTTTCATCTTTCGCCGAACATCGGCCTGCAGGGGGGACATGCCCGACCTAAGGTTAGCGGGGGATGCGCTCTGGAGGGGACGTTTCTCTAGGCCTCCCAGATGGGGTCCGAGTAGATGGGGTTGGAGGATCGCGTCGCATCGCCGATGCATCGTCGATGCTGCTCGATGTGGAGCCCGATTTGCTTTACGTCGATGTCGCCCATGCATCGCCTACGTCGACAAGGCATCGCTGGTGCATCGCCGACACATCGCCGACGTATCGGCGACGCGGCGCGACCCTCCGACCCCGTCTACTCCGACCCCACCAAGGAGGCCGCTGGGATGGGCTCTGGAGGGGGCTTTTTCGAGGGGTACCGATACCGATGCCTCGAGCTTCTGGTCGGAACGCGCCCTGGGAGAGGTCCGAGGACTTCGAGGTCCGAGGTTCTCGCGCGTCTCGTCGGTCTTCGTCGGCTTGCCGGCCTCGGGCCGCCGGCCGGCGGCGGCGCCTCGGCGACGGCGCTCCGGGGGCGCCCAGATCGTCCTGCGCGGGCACTCGAGGCTCGGCTTCCGGCCCGACAACCACCGGGGACGGGGATAGGCTCAGGGGGAACTTGCATCGACCCCCAGCTGCCCACTCATCGTCCACATGCTGTAGGGGCCCGAGCACCCGCCCTGCCCAGGGAGGTGCGGCTCGCTGTCGGGGGACCTGCCGCCGATCGACTGGCGATGAATCGCCGCTTCCGGGTCGATGCTCCCCCCCCGCTGAGCCAGACCCCCCGGGGCCCCCCCTCTCAGGAAGCAGCGCGCGGCGGAGGACAAGCTGCGGAACGAGCAGCTGCTCGGCCACGAGCGGGGGGCCGCCGCGCTGGAGCAGAGGATCAAGGAGAGCCGCGAGGAGTGGCTGGCCAAGCTGCAGCTGCTCTACGAGAGCAACCAGGAGGCCGAGCGGCCGCTGGTCGAGGACCTGAGGGTCGTGAAGGACAAGACCGAGAAGATGCGCTACAAGAAGGACCTCCTCCGCCTCCTCCTCCTCCGCCTCCGTCTCGTCCTCCTCCTCCTCCTCCTCCTCCTCTCCGTCCCTCGTCCTCCTCCTCCCTCCTTCTCCTCCCTACCCTCCCCTTCCCTCCTCCTCTCCTCCTCCTCCTCTCCCCTTCCCCCTCCTCCTCCTCTCCTCCTCCTCCTCCCCCTCCTCCTCCTGCTGCTGCTCCTCCTCCTCCTCCTCCTCCTCCTGCTGCTCCTCCTCCTCCTCCTCCTCCTCCTCCTCCTCCTCAAGTGAGAGGGGGCGGGCCTTCCCCCGGCCTTCCCGAGGAGCCCTCGGAGCCTGCCCCGGGGGCGAGGAGGGCCTCTTTCTCGGCGGGCCGGAGGGGCCTCCCGAGGAGCGCCGCCACGCTCCGAGAAGGCCTCTTCCTTCTTCAGGAGGGGAAAAAGCAGACAGACACAATTTATCGTCGATGCCCCAGAAAATATGGGGAAATATGGGCAGGGGGGGGAAGACAGAACCCCGGAAGATATGGGGGAATATGGGGGATCCTGTTATTTGTGTGTGTGTGTGTTTATTCGTGTGTCCCAGGGCCCCTTCAGAGAAAGGCCTTCTCCTTCTCCCTTCCCCCCCCCTTCCCTCGCCGCCAGAGGACGAGATCGAGCGCGCCCTGAACCCCGAGAAGTAGCCGTGAGGCCGCGCCCTCTGCCGCCGGCAGCAGCCCCCCCCCCCCGAGAGACCAGGCCCTCCCGGGGCCATGTCGGCGCCGGTCGGGGGACACTGTTCTGAGGTTAAGTCGGGCCTGTCCCCCTAGAGGGGGATTTTCCCCAGAAATGCCCCCAGATGGTCAAAAAATATTCTAAAGATAGTCCCCAGACTATTTTTGGATTTTTTTTTATTATTTTTAGGGTATTCTTTATTTTTCGTGGAAAATCCCCCTGTAGGGGGACAGGCCCGGCTTAATTTTAAGGCCACCCGCGGGGGCGCGTAGGCACACGCGGGTCGTTGAAGGTAGGTATCTTTGGATCCCGAGATCCCAGTCTGCCTCCGGCGCCTTCCTGCTGCAAGAACGGACCTGCTTTTTGCTGCTCTCTGGGAGGGCCTGAGCCCAAACTGCTTTGTCCGCCTTCCTGCTTCATGCTTTTACTAAGGAAACGAGCAATGACATAAACATAAAACTCGGAGGTCCGCGCGGATTTCTCGGATCGCCGTTGGGACCTCCTGGCGGCGCCTCCGGCGCCGCCCCTGGCGCGCTCCGCGCGTCAGGAAGGGGGTCCAGCGCGGATCATTTCTATCATTTTTCGGTTCCCTATGCACCTGCAGTCAACCTGCATGGTAAGGTTAAGTCGGGCCTGTCCCTCTACAGGGGGAATATTCAAAAACAGTCAGAAAATAGTCTGGGGACGATGTTTTGATAATTTTTGGGTATTTTGGTGTATTTCTTGACAATTTTTTTATCTTTCGCCCCAACTCCCCCTGCAGGGGGACGGGCCCGACTTAATGGTAGGGATGGGCAGCCTTCCGCGCGCCAGGAAGAGGGTCCAACGCGGATCATTTCTATCATGTTTCGTTTCCTTGTGTACCTGCAGTCAACCTGCATGGTAAGGATGGGCAGCCTTCCCGAGGAGACGTGCCCAGACATCCTCACCCCCCCGGCCTGTCCGTGGCCACCTTCGTGGGCCGCTCCGCGCTCGAAGAGCCTCGAGATGGGCGTCGAGGGGCCCTTGCAGCCCTTTTGCGTTCCGTCGGGCGTGCCCCTTTCTGCAGGAGGAGTATTCAAGCACAGTTAAAACATAATATGGGGACGATCTTCTTTTTGACTACCTTTCACTGGTTTTGAAGACTGTCGGACTATCTCTTCTATGTTACTCTCAAAACCCGCTCGTAGGGGGACGTGCTCGACCTAGCCCGTGCATCCTCATCGCGCAGCCTTCGTACAGTCAACCCGCATAGTAAGGATGGGCAACCTTCCCAAGGGTACCCTTGCATCCTTGCGTCCATCCTTCGCCGCTGTCGCTGGCCGCGCCCCGCTCGGAAAGCTTCGAAATGGGCGTCCAAGGCCCTTGCATCCTTATCGCGCATCCTTACTATACTGGTTGACGCTAACCCTTGCATCCGTATCGCGCATCCTTCACACACGGGCTGACCGTGTACTTCTCGCGACCGACGTGCCATCGTGCACCGCGCGTCGCGGTCTCGGCCGGCCGGAGCGGCTGCCCTCCTCCCAAGGAGGGGTGGGGGAATCGGCGCGAGGCTCCGCGAGGAGCGCCGCGCCTTTTGGCGCACCGCGGGGCGCGGCGGGCCCGAGGTGGGGCGGCGTTTTTTTTTTTTGTTTTTTTTTTTGGGGGGGGGGGTTTGATTATATAATTTTAATTATATATATGTATGTATATAGATATAAATACAAACAACATAAGAATATAACAATATATTATCATTATTATCATTATTATTATTATTATTGTTTTTATAAACAAATTATTATTAGTATTGTTATTATGATTATTATCTTTATTTATTACTATGTAGTGTGTATATATATATGTGTATGCATATATTTTTCTTTTTATATAAACAACAGGTTATATTGTAGTGGCCTTCGGCCAGTGCCGCCGATCCGGGGCGCTCCGACTGATGTGATCCTTCTTCGCCCTCGTCCCTCCTCTCTTTTTCCCTCACTCCCCTCCTCTCACTCAGCATTTATCCAGTGGCCGTCGGCCTATCCCGCCACCGTGCGTGGGTGGTGGGTCAGAGGCCTCATGGATGCTGGTTGGGATCTCGTGGTTGGCTGGGACTTCTGGGGGCCTCTTGGGCGCCTCTTGGGGCTTCTTGGGGGCCTCTTGGGCCTCTTGGGGCCACTAGAGGGCCTCTTGGGGGTCTCTTGGGAGCCTCTTGGGGCTTCTTGGGGGCCTCTTCTGCGCCCCTTGGGGCCTCTTGGAGGCCTCCTCGGAGCCTCTTGGTGCGGGAGGGGTGGTACTCGAGTTCGGAACCCCCTCGGAGGCCACGATCCTTGTGAGGGGTGTCAAAAAACGCATCCGCCGGAAACTCGCATCCCCCCCCCCCCCACCCCCCCTTCCCCGGCAGAGCCACCCCGGCACCCCCCCCAGAGGCTGAGGCTCAGTCTCGAGGCTGTAGCTGAGACTCCTTGAAACTCACACGCCGGATCGGCGGATATGTGAGTGTGTATATATATGTATATATATATATAAATAGAAGAATCAAACTAAACATGTATACACACATACGTAACACATGTTTTGGGGCTTCCGTCCAGCTCCTGGGCACTGGTCGGGCGTGTGCATTTTTTTTCCTCGGCGAGGGCCGTCGAGGAGCATCCTGGCCCCTCCTGCGGCACCAGCAAACACGCAGGACACCAGAAGCTGCACGGGGAACGGACGTCCGAGCGGTGGCAGGGGCCCGTTTTTCTGGTGGCCCCTCAGCACGGAGTGGGCTCTGGGAGGCTCCAGCGGGACCAGCATCGCCGTCCCACTGTTTCCGCAGCGGCGCCAGAGGTCTGGGTCCTGCTGCGGGCGCCCTCTAGGACGCCCCCACGATACCCACGAGAACCACATAAGCATCCGAGCACATCGATCCTCGAACCTCGATCTCTCGCCGTCGCAGAAGCGTGTGGGGGCCTCCAGAGATCCCTCTATGGCTCTATGGTTCCCGGACGCCCCTGGAGGCCTCCGAGGCCGCCCAGGCCGCCAGAGGCACACGAAAACACGCTCCCCGCGATCGGAGACGGGCGAGGGCCCGAGCAGAACCATCCCCCAGAACGCCGAAGCTGCCAGCCAGACTCAGACGTCGACCACGGATCTACTCAGGAGGGGAAAAAACACATAGACACAAGTAATCGTCGATGCCCAGGAAAATATAGGAAGTGGGGGGGAAGACAGAACCCCCGAAATAATGTGAAAATGTGAGGAATCCTGGGATTTGTGTGAATTTATTTGTGTGTTTGTGAGCCCCTCTATCTATGTCGTTGCAGATGTGCAGGGGCTGGCGCCCACAGAGGGGGCCGGCGGGCATGGTCAAGAACGCCGAGGACGATCTCGGCGGCCTCCTCGAGCTCGGCGCCGCGCCGCCCGCGGAGTCGCTGCCCGGCGGCGAGGACGAGGAGGAGCAGGCTCTCGTCGAGGGGGACGAGGGCGACGACGGCAAGGAGGAGGAGGAGGAGGGCGAGTTGGAGGAGTGGGAGGAGCAGGAGGAGGAAGAGGAGGAGGAGGAGGGCGAGTTGGAGGAGGAGGAGGAGGAAGAGGAGGAGGAGGAGGAGGAGGAGGAAGAGATGGAGGAGGAGGAGGAGGAGGAGGAGGAGGAGGAGGAGGAGGAGGAGGAGGGGGAGTTGGAGGAGGAGGAGGAGGAGGAGGAGGAAGAGCAGTAGGTCCGAACAGTAAGCACAGGCATGATCAGACACTTTCGGACCGGCGGTGCTTGCGTCACCGCCCCTGGCCCGCTCCGTGCGCCGGGGAGAAGAATCCAGTGCCGATCCAAGACATCCGTGCGGATCTCCGAAACAAAACATGTTTATGCTGATTTCCTCCAGTGGTGTTAGAATGAATGCCTGCGCTCACTGGGGATTTTTCGTCGCACTTTGGCTCAAGTGGTTTAACAGCCTGCGGACAAGCGGCGAGTGCCACATTTGAACATTTCGTCGCGGCCAGCCTGCTGAAAGGACTTTGCCAACTTTGCATGGAAGTGGGGCGGGGCGACCAGGGTTCTCCCAGGCCGCGCGACTGCTTCAGGAGTCACTGACCCCCCAACACAACTTAGCACGCCAGCGTATCGTGCAAGGCCGTCCAGGCTCGGCCCGGGCAGGTTGGGCGAGATGTGCGTAGCAACGCCGCTCTCAAGCGTGGACTACAGCTATGTTGGGACCCTTTTACAGGCGAGCAGAGACAACACGCACGAATTCTTCAACACCAAGGTCAATGACCGAGTCGGGTCAATTAATCAATAAGAAACGCTTGCGTTATTCCAAGTGAGCGACCAAGGCGACCACAGTGAGGTTGAGCTTTGTTAGACGTGGAATATTCGCCGAAGGAGGAGGAGGAGCAGCAGGAGGAGGAGGAGGGGGAGGAGGAGGATGATGATGATGAGGAGGAGGAGGAGGAGGCGGAGGAGGCGAGGCGGAGCGGAGGCGGAGGCGGAGCGGAGGAGGAGGGGAGCGGACGAGAGGGAAGGAGGAGGAGAGGAGGAGGAGGAGGCGGAGGGGCGGAGGCGGAGGCGGAGGCGGGAGGCGGAGGCGGAAGGCGGAGGCGGAGGAGGAGGAGGAGGAGAGAGAGGAGAGGAGGAGGAGGAGGAGGAGGAGGAGGAGGAGAGTGTGGAGGAGGAGGCAAGGGAGGCGGAGGCGGGGCGGAGGCGGAAGCGGAAGCGGAGGCGGAGGTTGAGGAGGAGGAGGAGGAGGAGGAGGAGGAGGAGGAGGAGCGGGATAGGAGGAGGAGGAGGAGGAGGAGGAGGGGGGGAGGAGGGGGAGGAGGTGGAGGAGGAGGAGGAGGCGGAGGCGAGGAGGAGGAGGAGGAGGAGGAGGAGGAGGAGGAGGAGGAGGAGGAGTGTAGGGGAGGAGGAGAGGAAGAGGAGGGGAGGAGGAGGAGGAGGAGGAGGAGGAGGAGGCGGAGGAGGAGGAGAAGAGGAGGAGGAGGAGGGGGAGGGGGGGAGGGGGGAGGGGGAGGAGGAGAGGAGGAGAGGAGGAGGAGGAGGAGGAGGAGGAGGAGGAGGCGGAGGAGGGAGGGGAGGAGGAGGAGGCGAGGAGGAGGAGGAGGAGGAGGAGGAGGAGGAGGAGGAGGAGGAGGAGGAGGAGGAGGAGGAGGAGGAGGAGGAGGAGGAGGAGGAGGAGGAGGAGGAGGAGGAGGAGGAGGAGGAGGAGGAGGAGGGGGAGGGGGAGGGGGAGGAGGAGGATGGGGGAGAGGGAGTGAAGAAGCGGCAGACTGGTCGAGAGGGTCATCAGCAGGAGGAGAAACAGGCCTTTGTCGAGAAGCCGCCCGCGGACGCGCCCTCGGCCACGGCCGTGGCGGCGGCCGCCGCGGCCGCCGTGAAGGAAGCGGACCCCATGGCGGACATTTTCGGCGACTTTGACTCCGCGGACGAGGCCTGGGACCGAAGCGTCTCTGCGGTGGAGCCTCCGCGCTGGCGTCGGACATTTTTGTCGACTCCTGTGTGTCTTCTGCTCTGGCATGCGTTCCGGCAGCCTCACTTCGCCTCGTGCGTTTCGGGGGTGCCAGGATCGTCCCCCGCGGCCGCTTGAGACCCAAGATGTGGCCCGAAGGCTGACATCTCTCCGCTCCGGGAGCGGGGGGAGGAGTGGGACAGTGACGACGGGAGCGCCAGAGGGAGGAGGGGCAAGCTTGGTGCGCTCGCGTCCTATCTGACGTCCTGCCCTTCCTTCCCATCCCTTACCATGGCGTAGATCTCCTTTCATTCACACAATGGGAAGTCGTAGCATATTATAGCATTACATGGCATAGCATGGTGTTGAAGGCCAACGCGTAGCATGACACAGCATGGCGTGGCGACGCCCCAAAGTGGGGGGGTTCTCTGCGGCCCAAAGATTCAACGAATCGCCACCGAATGTGTAATCACTTCCGATGGTCTTTTCGGGGGGCCATTTTGTAGATTTGGGGGCTTATTTGGAAGAATCGAAAACCATGCCGTGGCATGACACTGGAAATAATGACGCCAGCGCTGCAGCGGGGGCACGATCCGGGACGAGCGGAAGCGCGGAAATGCGGCCAGCGATGCAGCGGGAACACGATTCGGAACGAGCAGAAGCGCGTCAATGAGGCCAGCGCTTCAGTGGGAGCACGATCTGGAACGAGCGGACTCTTGAAAAGGAGGCCAGCGCTCCAGCGGGAGCAACATGTTGAAACAAAAACCCAAGCGAAAACCCAAAGCCCGGGAATCCTGGGTATACAAACAGTATGCGGAGGGGGGCCGGAGATCTTCTGGACGTCGTCAGGGGAGAGAGGATGGTGGCATTCCTATGGTGTAATTGTGTGTGGGGGGGGGGAGAGGGAGAGGCTAGAAGAGCGGACGGGGTGTGGCGGAGGGGGGCACGAGGGAGAGCAGGCGACGAGGAGCACTGGCAGGAACGGGGCCCCGCTCCTCCGCAGGGCCCCCCTTCCCCTTCCTTCCCGCGCTCGTCGTCGTCGTCGTCGTCGTCGTCGTCGTCGTCGTCGTCGTCGTCGTCGTCGTCCTCGTCCTCGTCCTCGTCCTCGTCCTCGTCCTCGTCGTCCTCCCCCGCCTCCTCCCTTTTATCTCTTTTGTCCTCCGCCTCCTCGCTCTCTTCGTCCTCCTTGCTCCCTCCTCCTCCTCCTCCTGTTCCTCCTCCTGTTCCTCCTCCTCCTCCTCCTCGCGCCCCTCCTCCGCCCCCCCCCCGCAGCCCCCCCTCGAGCGTGGGCGGAGCGCCGCGGCACCCCGGCGAACCGCGGCGTCCCCCCTTGCTCTCCCCTCCGCCCCCGCCCTCGCCTCGGGTCGTCGCCGGGCCCCTCGGCCGCCCCCACCTCGTCGCTGCGATTCGAAGAAGAAGAAGAAGAGATGGCATAAACATGAAGTCGGGCCTGTCCCTCTACAGGGGGGATCTTCAGAAACAGTCCAATGAATAGTCCGGGGACGATTTTTGTAAGCATTCCGCCTGTAGGGGGACATGCCCGACCTAACATAAAGTAAACTTTTTGACCCTCTGCGCGGATTTCTTGGATCCGCGCTTGGCCCCCCCCAGCGGCGCCTCCGGCGCCGCCCCTGGCGCGCTCCGCGCGCCAGGGAGGGGGGTCGAGCGCAGCTCCAAGAAATCCGCGCGTAGCGCCAAAATCTTCTTCGTGTTCGGGCGTTGGTGCTCGTCTCCAGCCCACGGCCAAGTAAAGTCCCCTCCTCGCCCGAGGGTGGCGCGGTCTCTTGGGCTCCGGTTCGCGCGGGGGGCCAGCATGCAGCATGCGCCACGGAGGGAGCAGTCCAGGCCTCCCAGAGGGGGAGTCCGAGCAGACGGGGTCGCAGGATCGCGCCGCATCGCCGATGCATCGGCGATGCGGCTCGATGTGGAGCCCGATTTTCTGCCCGCCGCCGGCGCCGATGCATCGCTGATGTCGCCGATGCATCGGCGATGCATCGGCGATGCATTGGCGATGCGGTGCGATCCTCCGGCCCCATCTACTCGGACCCCATCTAGGAGGCCTCTAAGGGAACTTCCCAGCAGCAGGCAGCAAGGCAAGGCAAGCCGTACATCCAGCAGGACGCGTTGGCAAGATCATTGCTTAAGGCCGCCGAAGGGAAGCATATCTAGCACTGCAACTCAGAACCCCGCTGGGAGAGGAGGGGGGTAGGAGAGAAGGCAGGACAGCCGAGAGGAGGGGTGGCAGGGAGCCTCCCCGCAGGGACACCAGTAATTCTTCTTCTGAGCCAGCCTGCAGTTTGACAAACTCTCAACCGAAGCGGCATCCCCCCTCCCCAAAATCTCTTCCTTACCCCCCCGCCTCGCCACTGCGAGGCGGAGGCGGC